GATTGATATATGATTTATTTTCCTGTTCAATTATATCAAATATTTATTTGATTGATTCTAATAAATGGTACCAAATTTTCTTCATTTTATTTTGAGTTTGAGAGAGCATAGATTTAAAAGCTATTTTTTAATCGGTTAATTCAGGGGGCTCCTCAAGCTTAGATTCTTATAGTTTCTTGAGAGCCATCTCTTTAAATATTGTTATTGGAATTGTATATTTAAAATCCACTCCATGTTCATATTGGCACTCAGCACACAGTTTCCTATAATATATACACTTGTGAGGAGCTATATAGATGAATGATATTGTATTTTGAAAATAATAAGTGCAATTTATAATCTTTTTTTAATAATAATTGAATTTCTATTACTTTTATATTTATTTTTACAGGAAATGGCCAAAAATTTTAAATATTAGATATAAATATATAGGATAAATCACTTAGATATTTGGATTTATTTAATGTTAAACTGAGTATTTACAATAATTACCATAAACTATTTATCTTCTTGTGTTACCGATAATTAAGTTTTATTCATTAATAAATTATATTTGGCCTTATCAATCCGTTAATCTAGTTTCAATAAGAAATATATCTAAAGGAAATATAAAAGCTCCAAACTTGGGAATATTATTGCTTTGCAAATCGGCTCTAAAATATGCTCAAACTCACCAAAGGCAATAATTAGGAGATAGTTAAGATATTAATTTACCATCTTTATTACATAGATAACCAGTTTTAATATGCAGGCAAATACTTCATGGAAAAATTTCTCTTTATAATTTATTATTATTATGATCAATCCTGTAAGAATATCGGTTATAATTGTGTGACAAAAGAGTGCTTCAAATTATTGTGCAAATGGCTTGATGATTTTAAAGAACCCCAAGATATTATTCAGCATTAATAATTCGGAAAGGAAAAATCTGAAACTGGAAGGATCAAAGAAAAAGAAGTTTCTAATTTTGAAGTTTTTTATGGTGGATAATCTAAAGAAGATGAAGTAGATTATAAAATTATTAGTAGAAGGTTAGTGGTATCAATATCAAATTAGAATAATTAGTTAACCTATCTTATAATTCTTATGAAATTTATTGATTTTAAATATGCTCAGTATTTTTATAAGACTTAGGAATAACAATTTAATAATGCTAAATTCTAGATATGACGATAATAAAATATAAATAATATATAAGAAGAAATGAATATTATTAACTAATTTTGATTTTAGGGTTGATATTGAAGATATGGATGAGGGGCGAGTGGTAGAGAAAAAATCAAATAATTGTAAATATACAATTGCTATATTAATAAAAATTAAGAT